AGTAATACGACGGCGCGGCATCAACCTTAAGACACCAATTAAAAGGTACAAAAACGTGACATTTATGATTCAGTTTGAGGCTTTTAAGCAGCAGCAACTTCAAGTAACATATATTAAAGCCTTATAAGATTAGAAACCTTTGGTAGCTTGTGTGCTAAGCTCACTTTAGCCCGACGTCGTAAACGTTAGCCTGAGCTAATGCTGTTAGCCTGAGCTAATGCTGTTAGCCTGAGCTAATGCTGTTAGCCTGAGCTAATGCTGTTAGCCTGCTACAGGCCTTTAAATATGAAGCTTTAAACGTTAAATTTATAAAGTTATTAGTTTGTGTTTCCGGTCCTCAGTGTCGTTAGTCTTTAGTTAAATCACTGAAACGTAGAGAAATGTTTGAAGCTGCGTCCTGTTAGCTTCAGGATGTAGCATCACTCGGCTAGCGGCATGCTAATCTTTATGTTTTCATTAAAGCAGGTTTTTGTCTCCCAGTTGGATCTCCTGTGATTACTGGGAGCACTGGGTCACAACAGGGTGGGGGCTTGTTCAAACATGTTCACACTGTCAAATAAAATGTTTTATTCACTTTAATTTATGAAACAATAAATTAATCTTTAAAAGTTTTTATTGAAACTTTAAGAACATGAAACAGAAAATTAATTCAAAGTCTGGAGATAAAAATACAAACAGCAAAACACACGTGAAGATAAAGGTAAACAAAGTGAGACTAATGGTGTTTATTTACATAGAATAGAATAGAACAGAACAGAACAGAATAGAACAGAATAGAATAGAATAGAATAGAATAGAATAGAATAGAATAGAATAGAACAGAACAGAATAGAATAGAATAGAATAGAATAGAATAGAATGACTTTATTGATCCCAAACTGGGAAGTTGTGGCGTTACAGCAGCAGGTTGTCCAAACACACAAAATGAATAAAAAACACAATGTTAGCAAATTTAAACACAATATAATATTAAATACAAAGTAAATAAGCACTAAAAATATCCAAACTAAGAATGAGAATATATACAACCAGGATTTAACTAAACATTACTCGTCTTAAATATGAAGATTAAATATGAAGATTAAATGGACAGTATTGACAGAAGTTGAAGTGCAGTCAGGGTCCAAAATTAACTTTTTGACTCACCAGGTGGCAGGTAGATGAAAAAATTCACCTGCCAAACATATTTTTTTACCGGCCAAAATAACAAATTGTGTTTTTGTGTCCTACACACATCTGTTACAGTACATTTAATTGAGAAGGCATTATGTTCTGTTTAATCAATAAAACATTTAAGTCACAGATTTGATCGATTCGATGTCATCAGATCAGGAAATTGAAATATTTTTCTGGCCTTTATTTTTTTCTTGTGTTATTTGTAGGCAGTAGTTCCAGTCTGAGAGCATAAACGTGCTCTCATAGATTACACATCAGGAATATAAAGTTAAACAAACAACTGAAGCATGGATTAAAAAAACGAGGACCAGAGTTCAAAACCACACAAATTAAAACCGTGCTGATCTGTCTTAAATCCTGTTGGAGATAGAGATAATAATAATGATTGGATTGCATTTTATAGAGCGCGTTTCAAGTGAGCCGAGAGGGACCAGACATGGGTCTGTAAACCTTTCTGTGTTCTAACCTCTCTCCATTTTTCAAAAGCATCTCCAATATTGATCCTAGTTTGAGCACGTTTCTGCTCGTGGAGCTTATTAGAAACATGCAGAGGCTTTTTAGGTCGGGTACAATCACTTCTATCTGAACCACTTCTCTTGACCGCTTCCATCACTGCAACACCTGTTGACCTGATAACTGCTCTCATATCTGACAAACTGAGGGGCGTCCAAAACGGCTCCAGAGCATTCAGGAGCAGAATCTGAAGTTAGAAGGAGGACATACTGGCTGCTGCATTGTTGTCAGAGAAGCCAGCACTTCAACATAGCATGTTTCCTTAATGATCAGATAGTAAGATACCTTTATCATCTCACTCTCTACACATCTCACTGATTGGACCTTTGAATCATGTATGATGTAATGGGAACCTTAAATGTTTCTTTCTCTCAGACCAATGTTCGGACGGGGTGCAGGAGGAACTGGCAAGGGTTTTGACGCCCGGCAGAGGATAGGGGTCAACGATGTTAGGCAGCGGCTTGGAGGAGGAGCAGGTAAGAGCCAACACTACTCCCAAAATATGAAACATATGATAATCACTTTTAAGGTTGTCAAAATGTTCAATGAGACCACATGTGTTTTAAAGGGATACAGTCTGTTATTTTAATGGTTAATAGTATCGCATAGTACCAAAGCTAAAAAAAACATAACGGGTATCGATATCGTCTGATTTTTACTAGAATGATATCAAAGTTTAAAATTCTGATCTGACTGGAGGGTCGCCTCTCGCCCCTCATCTGCTCTCAGGTTTTCAAGTTAAAGACGCCAG